TATGTATTTAAATGTGCCAATAATCTAAATACATACTGTTTTATACAATGAGATGCTACTACCAGACTTTTCTGTTGGAGTGCTCTTGACATTTTTGTTTTCATACCTGAATGATCATTGCATTTTCTGTGTCTTGTAAGATGGCTTAGATTTTGTGTTTTAAGCTTCAGCTTAAGTTATTTCAAGAATTATGTTCTAATTCTTTCTTGAGAATACAGTATTGATATTCTCACTTTTACAGATAACTGCTTTTTAAATTTTATTCATTAAGTTCATTTGCATCCCATATCCCTCTGTAAATGTTTTCCCAGTTGTATGTACTTAAATGCACGCTTATCCATTGTACAGATTAGATATTTTCTGTGCTAAATATATTAAGTGGGATTTTTGTAGCAAAACATTCTGTTTTTTCTGTTCTGTGTGTGTGTGTGTGTGTGTGTGTGTGTGTGTATCTGTATGTGTGTCTTTAACTTTCAGTTTAAACATTGGGTTTTTTTGTTTATGTGTTTTTCTTTTTTAGCAACTTGACTCTTAGAAGCCTTAGACTAATTTTTTAGAATAAATATTCAACCAAAAAAATACAAATTTATTAAGATGTGGCCTTACATACGGCATTCTTTGTGTTTGTAATGTGAGATTTTATTTTATTTTTTTTTATTTAGAGAAATCAAGATTCAGGATTAAAGTTTTATCGTAAGTTGAACTAGAAAACATGTTAAAATGTCTAGGCTTCTGGGAGGAAATTTTTCATGACATTGGAAGAAGCAATATGAGTTTTTACGAATATTCAAAATATTCATGCAATTGTATTCTGTTCAGTTTGATTTAGGTTTGTCTTAACCAGTGTTTCTTTAAAATTTCAGGTTGATGGCATTCGTTATTTGAGTATGTAGCTACTGTGGTTTTTGTATGGGATGTATAAACACTTGGTTACATACAGATAGATTTTTGTGTTTTGAAGACTCCCTGCTATATTCATTAACATAGTATAATGGGAGTCTATTAAAATATTAGGTAGAATTTAATTGAAGTCACACAAATCTTAAAGTAATTATCTGTGGATATTAAATACTACCAAGAATTTTTTCATGTGGGAGTATCCTAAAACTCCATTGTGAGTATAAATGTTCTACATTAATTTTATAGTTGGATAATACCCTACATTTAGGAAAAGCATCTCATTTTGAATATGTGTTCTTTTTGTCAAACACAGTTAGTGCATAACACTACTCAGCATTCTTTAAGTTAAATTATAAAAATGCAGTGGTGAATTCATGTTTTATTTTTTTACTTTGAAAATTGTAGTACTCAGGTGGTATTTAATGGGAAAGGATCCTTTGGGGTAAATCAAAATATATTCTAAGAAATGCATCGATAACGTTGATGACTTTAGCCTTAAAAAAGGTCTATTTACATTTTATTCCTTCTTCCTCTGCATCCCATGATATATTAGCAAAGTAGTTTACAGCCCTATACAGCCTTACAAAGTTGTTTTACAATTTTTAATGGAAAGCCCTTGAAAAAATTGTATCATATTACCAATATCCATGAATTACTGAATCATAGTTTGTAAATAATTTGTCTAATCAGAAGGCCAAAGAAAGTCTTAAAATTTTAGCTATTCACTCTGGTGACTTCACAATAAGATTTCTGTGCAAAAGGTAAGGTGATATTTGATCAAACAGATATCTTTTTGATGTCTATGCGAACTACACTTTCATATTAGCTTCTATTAAAAAGCTCATTCCATTTTATTACAATGTTTGTAATTACAATTTTGTGTTTAATGTTTACTTTGTCTTTTCTTTCTTTAGCATTTAGGTGACTGTTCAGCAGTTTGCTATATGGCCATTGTTGGCCCTAAACTGCACTAGTAACAAGCATGGTATTTATCTTGTATTGAAAATAAAACAGTTTTGATAAGACTTTGCACTTTGTCCTTTTGTGCTTGATTTAATTTAACTATTGTAAATGTTTTTGACAAATTATTTGCAGTATGCAGTGTAACAGATATTGGACTCTGTTGGATGTCTTTCTATTTATTTATTTATTTTAGGTTTTTGCTATAGGGCAGGTTTGCACGTGGGAGAGAGAGAAGGAGAAAGTGAGATATCCACTGGGGGGTTGCCATGACACAATCCCTTCTCCACTCTTCCTTTTGGAATTATGGACATGCATGCATATACACCCAGCATGATTTTTAAGCCATTGGATTTGGGACTTGAACCACAGTCGACCATGTGGGAGTCTAGCATCTTTAACCTGCTGACCTCATATTTTGTTTTTAAGTCAGTCTCCTAGATAATGGCTATTGTTGTTACTATTATTTTTAGTGAGAAAGCACCCCTCAGGGTGGACGACCTTGCTACAATCCCTTCTCTGTTCTTGTGAAGCACACACACACACATACCTCCAGTGTGTTTTTTAAGCAGCAGGGTCTAGGACTAATCTCACTGTTGGCTGTGTGGGTTTGAGCACCTTCACCACTACACCACTGGCTGGCCTTTTTTTCTTACAAAAAAAAAAAAAAGGCCTTTTTAATATGGCACATGCACTGCTCAAGAAGTGAAAATCACCCCCAAGGTGGGGATGGCCATGCAACAGTCTCTTTGTTCTCCTCTTGGGAGTTGGGCATGCCTACA